CGCACGTGGCGTGAGGGGGCGGGTTGGTGGTGAGGCGCGCCTGGTGGTGGCCCCGGCTCTGTGCACGAGCGTGGGTGGCTGCGCTTGATTCCCTGCCTAGCCACGCATCCCTTCGGTCTACGCATTAGTGCACCCGGTCTGCGTGCTCAGTCACACACATACGCACACGCACGCGCGCAAGCACGCGCACGCACACACACACACACACACACACACACACACACACACACACACACGTGCGCACACACACACAGGCACACACACACACGCGCGTACACACACACACACACGCTCAGGTACCTAGATGATGGAAGCGGCCAGCGCGTCCGCGTTGAGGGCAGCCGCGGCGCGCGCTGGCAGGACGACGCGCTGGAGACGCGCCAGGACTACAGGGAGAAGCCAGAGGGCGCCGGGCTGCAGTCGCTGGCGCAGTTCTTCACGTGAGCGAGACAGGGGCTCGATTGCCGGCGCTTGCGTCCTCCTTTTTTGGGCTTCGAAGGGGCCGGCCTGCTCAGTTTGGCGGGGCCGCCAAGGTGGCTGGTCGCACAGTCGTGTACATCAGCCCTGCTCTGTTGAAGGGGAACCGAGCTGAGTTTTTCGTGCGATCTTGGTGGGGGCGTCCATCACATTGGATGAGCAGCGTCCGGCGGCACGCTCTCAAGTGTTGGCGCCGCCGATAGCGAGGCGGCCGCCGGCGCGTCCTTGACGAGCCTCTCCCGGCACACTGATGCGCCGCGGCGGCCCGGCTGCTCGTTCGCAGGGGCCACCGGACGCAGGGCTACAAGCGGAAGGAAGCGTTTGTCCCCGTTGGCGCCATCCTAACCGTAGTAGGCGAGCTCGCCCGCAACGCGCTCCCCGGCACCGGCGGCGGCGCCCGCTGGGTCGTGCGCCCCCCGCCGCGCCGCCCCTACTACATCACTGGCCAGTCGCTGCAGCAGCTGCGCGGCGGCTTCCTGGGGGCGGCGGGGACGTACAGGAAGCTCGCGATCGCGTTCGGGGGCCTGGGGGTGTACCTGATAGTCCGCAAGGCGCTGCGGCGCTGGCTGCGCGCGCGGCGGGAGCTGCGCGCGCGGCGCATGCTGCAGGACGCCGTCCGCGCGCGCGAGGCGCGGCGGCGGCTCGCCGCGGCGGGCGGCGGCGGCGGCGGGGAGGAGGCGGCGGAGGAGCGGGACGCGGACACATGTGTCGTGTGCATCGAGGAGCAGGCGTGCATGGCGTTCGTGGCGTGCGGGCACCTGTGCGCGTGCGCCAAGTGCAGCAAGCAGCTGAAGCGGTGCCCGGTCTGCCGGACTGCGTCGGACTGCATCCGGGTGTACAGGATGTGAAGCGGGGGCCGCACGCTCAGCACCGCCATGGTGCCGGGGACCCGCTCTCACATTCAACCCGACCCCTGCTTGACAGCACGTCACGCGCTGCGCATTGTGTTGTCATCTCGGGCTGCGTGTCGCGGCGCGAGCGCGAAAGGGTCTGCCGAGCGGCGGCGCGGCGGCGCGCCAGACCGGCGCCTTTGCTGGCGTGCACCGCTGATCCGTCCGTGCGCCGCCCGCGTCCGTTTATGCCGGGGCCCCTGTCCAGCTGCCTCCCCGGGCGTTGAGTTTTGCCCCTTTCTACAAAGTTGTACCAAACCTTACAAAACAGCCTGTCTCTGAGAGCGGCTCGTGCCCCTCCATCCCCATTAAAACTGTTGTACTCTCATTATATAGGTTTTCTCTCTCTCTCTCTCTCTCTCTCTGTCTGAACGACGGCGTGGATCACAACATTAAGTTTTAACTGCCGCAAGTGCATGAGCTTGGATTATCTTTGGAGCACTAGGGATCAGGAAAGTATTGACGACAGTCGCAGGGAGCGGCTGTTGGGCGCCGTCAGCGCGCCTGCCACGCAGCTACTGCCGCCCCCCCTGCGGCAGCAGCGACGCCCGCAGCAGGTTGTTGCGGCTCCTGTGCGCCCCCGCCCCCGTCGCGGCCGCGCCCAGGCAGAAAAGCGCGTCGTACGGCGGCGCGCCGCCGCAGCCCGGCCCCGCCTGCAGCAACGGCTGCGGCAGCTCGAGGCGCCCAGCGTGCAGCTCCCGCACGCCCGCCAGCGCGGCGGGCGGCGCGTCGGTTAACAAGTAAAGCAGTCCGGCCGCCGCGTCGATCGCGCGCACCAGTCCGAGCCCGACGCACGGCCGCAGCGGCGGCGGCTGCTGCTGCTGATGGTGATCGTGGTCGTGGGTTTGGGGGTCGGGCGATTGTGCAGCAGGGTTTGGATCTGCGCCGCCAGCGATAAGCCCGACGAGCGCGCCGTTGAAGACGCGCGCGGCCTGCGCGGGCGGCGCCCCGTCGTGCAGAGAGACGAGCCGCAGCGCCCCCAGAGGCGC